CATTTTGAGACAATGGCTTAGCTGAAGGATAGTAAAGAAAACACTCTAAAGCCCCAGATGTGATTTCTTTTGTTCTCAGCCTGAACTTCATCTCAAAGTATTTAATTTCTAAGAATCATGTCACTTGTTTGAGAGTAATCACGCTGTACACATTAGCTTTGATTCACTAGTAAGTGAACAGGACAAGCCGAGTTTCTCCAAAGGAATATGAAATACCTTTTCTCAATCTTATGAATGGCAAAAGGGAGCAGGCATTGAAGCAGACCAATTCACATTTAAGCCAATCCCTAAACAAGATGAGGCACATCCATGACCTGGGCAGTCTACTGGTATGCCCACCTCTGGGCTAAGCACTTCCCAGTTTCCTGGCAAACCCTGCAGGTAGCTTATCTTGAGATCCTGCAGACCTGGTTTCAAGTTCCAGCTTCCTACCACTATGATTTTGGAACTGTCCCTGAGTCTCACATTACAGTTTAATGGGCAGCCACCCCTCCCGAATTGACCCTGTAAGCCAAATGGACTGAAGAACTGCTTTAGATTTAATCATCTAGACATAGAAATGGTTCCGATCACTTTGAGGGATGGGGGAAGGAGTATACAGAGTACCCAAGTACTTAATTTGTTCATCGGGACTCATTGCATCCTAATAAAAATGCAACTCCTTGGTGAACAGGAGCTGAAAGTCAGACACACTACTGAAACATAATGTCTCCTCTTCATCACCAACATCTATCTTCACCTAAGAAGTAGTTTATGGGTGGATTCTCTTCTTAAAATGGGGTCCTAAAAGTCATTAACATGGGTCTAACTTACAGGAAGCAAAAGTTACTTTCAAAGGAAAGTCACATGGAGGAGTGAGGGAGAACAATTACGCCATGTTTTCCCTGACATAAGAGTTTGTTATGAGGCAGCACCGAAGTCGGCTACTGTTCCAAGTCATTTGTCCCATCAACGTATGCTACGTGAGTGAATTCCTTGAGGGCAAGTAATTAACAGTATCAGAAGCATGTGAAATTATCCTCGGGGTGTACTTTTCCCTCCTGAGAATAGTTCCTTTCAGAATTATGTTCTCTACTAGGAATCTATTATATGATCTAGTTTTTCCTCCAAAGACATCATTAATCACATGGTGAAAATGTAACTACAATTGAAAATACAAGATGTTTTGTTATACACTATTTTCAATGCTTGGCAGTCACTAAGCTCTCCATCACTGATTTAGGGACTTTGTCTTTGGCATCTTCTGCACTGCTGCTTATTCACTGGTCTCCTCTTTCTCCTAAGGATTGTGAAGTTCTCTCTTCTTCGTCTTGTTTTCCTTCTTTAAAATAATTATGTGGGAGTTTTAAAATGCTATTCTAGCCAGAATGCTAGAATGTTCTATATCGAGTTTGCATCTCGGCACCATGTTCTGAGTGAAAGACTGCAAGAAAAAGTCTTTCCTGGGATTTATGGTCAGTGGTCCAATATCTTTATAAGGCTGGGAACTGAAGCAACTGGTGTTCCAGTGTTGACTTTGATCATGAGCAAATCACTTCTGCTTACAGGCCCCTGTTTCCTTAACTAGACAATGAAGAGGCTAAACCAGGTGCTCTCAATACTCACTCAGCTATTACACTTAGAGATGTCTTACTCCTGAAGAATGTCATAATGTCCTATGCCAGTGTGACTACCGTCATGAGCTCAGCACATAAAAATAAATTAAACACAATCACCTTCCTATAGACAGCAAAACTAATAGGATGAATGAGACCAGAAAAGCCACCTCTGTCCCAAAGGTTGTACTTGAAGTCACACAGAGATGATGCCAACTATAAAATCACCACAACGAGAAAACAGAAATGCAGAGAATGACTATGATTCAACATCTCAGCTTAACCTAATCGTTAGTGGGGACTGAGAAAATTTGTAACTATGAAAGGGGCAAAATGGGAAAGGAAGAACCCAAGTTGAGGGCAAAGGAAACAGACATCTAGCAACAGCCATAGCAGCAGACAGAGAGCGGTCAGCCATGTGGAAAAGGCATACATGGAATTCCCATGTTGGACCAGAACCAGGAAGGAAATCCAATCAGGCAGCCCAGCAGCAGGGTCCAGATCTAATGCATACTTTATTCTTCAGCCTGGGGGTGAATATTAGTTAGGAAAATGTGTTATCCAAGTTGAGCCAACTGGAAGAAACACCCAAGCGCATTCTGGTCACAGAGAGTAGGAAGCACTGAAAAGAGTTCCTGAAGAGCTATCTCCCTCAGTGGGGAAAATTCTAGGTTCTCCTAGCTGCAGACTCTTACCTAATATTGTTGTTGTTAAGTGCCATTGAGATGGTTCCAATCTAGAGCTACCCTGTATAGGGTTTCCAAGGAGTGGCTGGTGAGCTTGAACCACAAACTCTGTGGTTCAAATCGACCTTGCAGTCCAGCGCATTAACCCGCAGCACTACACCAAGACTCTCCTACTGTGGTCACATATAAAAACAGCAGGACAGGGCTTTATGGGTAACCAAGCCCACTGGAAGAGCCCTTCTTTCCTAATAGCCATGTGGACTCTGAAACACTGGGATCCCTTAAGGCTCTGCTCAAGGTAAGGTAGGGCCAACCCGTGGAAGTACAGTAGAGACCTTTGCTCTAGACTCAAGCCTGCCTCTCACTAGATCACATGAGCAAGCCCCTAAGGCACTTACTCAGCCTTAGTTTCTTTTCAAACCCCTGAGAAGACAGACAAGTATTTCCCACCCTAAATTTATGCTGGAGTGAGGAACCACCTAAATTTTGAATTGCAGGTACCAGGTAAAGGAAACAAAGGGGAAGGGCCATTAAGAGAGGAAGGCAAAACATGATAAATCAGGCACAGTTGCTCCTGCTGCTGCCGAGAGTGGGAGATGGGGAGGAAGGTGAGCACAAAACCAAGGCTCGCTGGTTGAGAAACCAGCAACTGGGACACACTCAACCATTCATGTCTGTCACCCCTTCTGGCTGTAACCATCTCTGACTCATGGGCAGGTCCTTCATACCCACGCCCCACTCCTCCCCCTCCTGAGCCCACACAGGTTACTGCAGGGCAAGTGTTTATCTGCTAGCCACCTAGACTGAGCTTCCCAGAGAGTCACCTGGAACAAGCAGTGATGGCCCCTCCTGTGAAGAATAAGAGGTCAGCATCCATTGGTCAACTCAGTTTTCCCACTTCAGAGAATATAAGGTTATGCATCTGACTAGGAATGAGTTTACCTCCTTTGCAAATATTGACTGAGCATCTACTGTATGCCAAGGCTTATGTGTTAGATTTCAAACCAAGATTCTGATTCTCCTATACTTTTTAAATGTTTGCATTCCCACATCACAAACCACCTATCATTTACAGGCCATCTCCCTAAGCATTTCGACCATCACAATAATGTTGTCCAGGCCACACCTAACAGATTAAAAGCACTCTGTCACTCATGGGTTTGCCACAGTGAGTACATTTATAGACACATTAAGCCAAATATAACAATGTTCTTCTGACTTAGTGCATTTTTCTGTGAAATCTTTCTTCACGTTGAGAAGGAAAAGGCTGTGTCTCTATGTTGAAATTTCAATAGACTCAACAAAAACAAAAATGGACTTAGCCCCAAGCCAGCTACAGAATTTCTTTCTTAACAAAACAGGCTGGTGTTGTCTGGAAATGTAAGTATCAGATAACAATGCTGTACATAACTGACCATTTAGAAGGTACCAGAGCTGTTCCTGGGTGTGCAAACATATACATAAAATCATCTACAACCAACCTAGGCTGGCAGATCCCACAGACAAATCCATCTAGGTTCTAAAATTATCCAGAGTGCCTGCACCAGTGGTCTCAAAGGCTTAGGCCTCAAGGGAGTATGAAAACAAAATGAAAGTTATAGAAAAGAAGAAAAATTAAAAATAAGCAAAGCAACTTTCAATGGATCTTTCTTCTTCAAAAAGAAAGGATTGAATCTAGATTTAAATTGAAAGCCTTAAAAAAAATAACAATTTTATAGTGGTACTTGAATCATATTCATTGTTCAAAATTCTTCATAGATATTCTAGTTAAGTGATTCCTTAGAAACTAAGGACGTTCGCTTCTTGGTCCTGGTTAACATGACCGCTTCCGATCAGCTCCCCCTCCCACCTGAAAGATGGAAAACTCAGGGACAGATGGTGTCACATGAGGGATATGAAGAATGAGTCCCATAGGGGAACTAGATTAGGCTAGAAAGAGAAGTACCAACCCAAGGAGACATTAACTCATTAACTCTACACATTGTGAAAATACAGATATGGAAAAGGAAGCAACCAAGTTCCTAAGGAAACTCAAAATACAGGTCAGTTGTCAATTCTAGTTAACAAGCAACATTCCTGTGGCAAGCTCCTGTACTATGAGTTTTTCAGACTTCCTAAATTCCAGTCCTTTCTGTGTCTTCCATTTATATCTATATGACTTATTTTAAAAGAGTTTATATTTATTGCCCACCAACCTCAACCACTTAAGAGTCCTTTCAATCCTTAACACAATCATTTCAAGATTCTTAATGCAATCACTCCAGGTCATAGACTACTTTTTAATCCTTCAAACTCAGAAAGTAGTGCCATTTTCCATTTACTTGAGAATTTTAAAGAATAGTTCCACCTTGAAAGATTACCATAAGCAGCATTCACAAATGATGATCCTCTTGAGTGCTCACTGGAAAGTAGCACACATTGACTCTGGTAAAGCTTGGTTAACATTCTTTGCTTTTTTACCAACTACAGGTCACTTGTAACAACATCACAGAATTTTACCATTGCCATGAACCTTAAAATCATTTAATCCAACCTCTCCATTTTATAGCTGAGACAAATGGAGCCTACAGCAATTAAATAAGTTGCCTCAGTAGTAACAGACTTGCGAAGGCGATTTTGGTCTCCCAATTTCCAGACCCAAGATTTTCCCCAAACAACCTGCTTCTTCCTTCACAAGTTCCTTTCATCTTTTCATGAATAAAGTGGGCTTTTTTCCTACCTTTCTTCCTCCACCACGGTCCTTCAGGAACAGAATAGGACAGGTCCTTGAACTCAATGTTCACAGCTGCCCTCCGAGGCAAGGAGGAGAAGCGTTGGGCCTCTGTAAGGTTGTTGTCCACTTTCTTCAGGTGTCCGTTCAGTAGTTCGGTCTCAGTGGTTTCCATGTTTCCGGACACCACTTCATCCACTGAGACACACACTGACTTTGGCTCCGTCATTGCTGCAGTGTAGCTGCTGGCATTCTGAAAACACGGGGAGGAAGCACAAGATATGTTATACACTCTATCAAGGGAAGGAGCATCAAGAGATTCACCATCAGCCCCAGGGTCAATGATCATTAATTGCAACACTTCTGAAACTCTGAGAGTACCTTTGGCACAAGAAGAAAGGGCCTTACTTAAAGGAATTTGTCACCTCATTTTATATTCTACTCAAAAAAAAAAAAAAAAATGCAGAAGATAAAATGTTAAACTGATCTACAAGTCCTATTTGGGAACCATAAAATCAATTCACAAAGCTGTAATATAGGAATTCTTTGCCTCTGGTAGTGTAGTGAATCTGGCTGCTAATCTCACGGTCAGCAGATCGAAACTACCAGCTGTTCTGCGGGAGAAACAGCTGTTCCTGTAAAGATTTGCAGCCTCGGAAACCCTGTGCAGGGTCACTATGAGTTGGAACCGACTCCACTGTACTTAACAACAAACCATTACAAATGATTCTTTGCATTCCCTGGGTGTCTGAAATGATTAAACATTCAACTACTAATCAAAAGGTTGGACATTCAAATCTACCCAGAAGAAAAGTCTGGTGATCTACTTTCCAACATACAAGCTATTGGAAACAAATCCTCTGGAGATCAATGGCAGCTGGTGGTGGTAGTTAATTCATAGTCCACTCATAAAATACTCCATGTGGAGGCATGATAGTAGCTCCTAAGTGATATATCACTGAAAAAGTCTGATTTAAAATGAGCTATTTTAATGCTTTCCTCTATAATCTCAAAAAAATTCTCAAGAGAAATAACACCATTGAGTTCCTGGGTTTTGTGGGGGTTGGTCTTTGCATGTTACTTTAAAATTTTCCAAACCACTCACAACTCTACTCTCTCACTGCATCTTCATAAGAGCACTGAAAAGTAGGAAGTGTTGTTATTGTTTCTTTATTGTATGGCCAAGGAGACTGGGGCACAGACAATTTAAGGCACTACTGGTGTTATAGGATAAACACTGAACTGCTAACCACAGGGTTGGCAATTCAAACCCACCAGCCACTCCCTAGGAACCCCATATAGTGTTGCTATGAGTCAGAACTGACTTAACGACACAAAACAACAACAACAACAACAACCCTAAGTCCCTCAAACAAGTAAGAGGCAGAGGTGATTCCAGAGTTTGAGTCATCAAAAAACAGATGCTCTTTCTACTGCATCAAGAAAGTGCCTGATATTGCATAAGATCACAGGCAGAATCCTGAACCCCATCCAGAATCTTCTGAGGTGGGAAATCTCCACTTGAAAGGAAAAGCAGACCAGCCTAGAATGCTAGAAGAACAGAAGACACTTCTTGAAAGAAAGACCAACAGGAAAAATGAAAAACAATAATGGCAGTCCAACTGACTACTACAAGAACAAGCAAGTTGCTCGCCCAGGAAACATCAAGGCAAGTGATTAAATACCCTCAGGGCAAACCCCCTTCCAAGACTAAGACTCAAGGGGAATACACAAGCAGACACGCCGTCTGACTAGTGATCAGAACTGAGGGAAAAACAGCAATGAAGCTGTGAGCTAAGTCCTACCACGTTCAATAGACTCCTGTGAACCCGGGTGGAGACCTGGCTGGCCAGCAGTATGGCAAGACCTGGCAACTCCTGGGCCTTAAGTCAGTGACATAGCCACAGAGGACTAGAGTGGCGAGTGAAGCATCCAGCTAATAAGAAGTGAGGGGATATGCACAAGAACACCCACTTGACCTGGCTTCAATGGTTGGATGACCAGAACTCAGCTAGAAGAAGGAAAAAAAGAGTTTTCTGATACAATTTGATGAACTTGAACTATACCTATGGATGCAGTAGCTCAAAAGAGGGAACAAATCTTTACAGTGAGAATCATCCCCACCCCCTCAGTACACAGAGTAGACAGGAATGGGCAACTTGGACATTGGCTACCCAAAATGGGGGGTGGGACTACAAAGGCAAGAAGTGACTGGCTTACAAGCTTTCAAGAGGGAGCCTAGATCCAGAGGGCGCAGAGGAAGGTAGAATCTCCACTGAGTACTATCCAATCTGTCTGGGTGGGACTGATGAAAGGAGATGGGGCTATGACTCCTGTGGTACAATAGTGAATAATTGTTACCAGAACTGATTGTGAGGGTTAGAAATGTAATGGTAGACATTTTGTAGCAAAAGGAGGGGACTGGTTGACTTTGCAGTCCAGGAGCGGAGGTCCCTGGGACCATTCAAGGAAGAAGAGCGGAGTGTGGGACCCTACTCAGAGAAATCGTGACACCACAGATGGAGGCAGAGATGATGACATGAAGAGATGGAGTGGCTGGGAACTCTAGACC